TGGAGAGATGGTTCATTATAAGTATTACTTATTCTCCTATGTACGTATCCCTTATCTCGCAATAGCTACAAAAAAACGACGTAGAAATTGGTGGGATTTTAGCCATGCAAAAACTTTTCTAACAAATTGAGCCATCTCACTCAGCAAGCGTTTAAGCGATAAAACTAAAAATACATAATTCGACTGACCACACACTTTTAAGACAAACTTGGCAACGACGAGTGTACATATTTCCACTTGGGGAGCATTGATTTGATTGATGATGGATTATAGCCTCGTTTGCGGTGAGGTGCAACAAGTTAGTGAGTAATGAGCACTGGTCAATTTGTTAGTTTTACTTTTTAACGGCTCGAGCAGATAATTGTTCTTCCCGGTATTGGAAAAGGCAAGACTGAAAGAGGCCGCAGTGACAGAAGGTCAACCCAAAGGTTACTCCAAGAAGAAAATACATAAAATTGGTTAATGGATCTCGAAACAAAATCCTTACTTTTTTAGCACATTCACATTTCTATCGTAAAATTAACCACTATTGGAGTTGACATTTAAAAATATGAAGTCCCTAGAACCACCAAAATTTTGTAAAATTGATGTCAAAACGATGATGCATAAAAAATATCAAAGTTCTGAATCTCCTCGTTGTTACTACTTTGCCTTGACTTTTTCTACCTCTCGATCTCCTCATTGTCCAGTCTCGCACTACTGATGAAGCACGGAGTCTTATCCATGAGTGCTTATACATACTCGACTATAGGGGGTTTGATGAGAGTAGTAAAATTGTGTAAAGTAGACCGATCTTGAATCCCATGGATGCGTGAGTACGATAAAGTGCAGTCAAGCCGAAGAGGAAACAGCACTTTTTAAATGAGCAGGACGAATGGTCCTCTTTTTCTGTTTTTTCTGTGAACCAACAAGGTTATATTAATGCCTCCACGTTACTCTGCTTACTTAGTTCTTCTTCTTCGTTAGTCGTGATTTAGTGGGCTTCGTGTGCAACTAATCCAATTGGCAAGAAGAACTAACAGACACAGCGGGTCATTCCGTTCCGAACGGTAGGTAGGACGGGTAGCTATGTATTTATAAGCGTAAGGTACGAGAACGTAAAGGTGTACCTCGGCTCATTTTTGAGAACAACTAGATTACGTAATGAAATGCAAGACAGTGCGTCATCCGCTCTGATGTTACTTCTTACTTAATGGGGAGAGATCGACAAGATTACACTGCTCCAATGTGAAATCAAATGTTTTGTTTTCAGCAGTGTAAGTAATTACTGATTGAAATGCTACATAAAATTTGTTTGCAGAATATTTTTACGAGGAAGAAGATTTGATAATACTAAATCTTGACCTATTGAATACTCGCTAATAATAAAATTCTGGGCAAAGTTCCCTCACCTCTGGATGTTTATGCACTTATCGGGCTCCCCATTGGGAAGTGTGAAATTAAAATAAGAAATGCGGATCAGTGTACGATTGGAAAATTCACCTGCATGGGAACTTTCCACATAAAACCGGGTCATAAAATTTTTAAATTGCCAGATATCCTCAGACATCAATATAGGTACTGGAGGATGCATCTATGCAGCTAGCCTGCCTGCAGTACTACGCTAGTTTCCGAACACTTTTGTTGCTCAAACGAATAAAAATAGAGAATGGGAATCTGAGTGGAAACGGTTTCTCCATAAGTTTGTCTTCCTACATACGTCAGAAGATTAGGCAACATTAAGTTCACAAGGAGGTTTGTAAACGAGGTGTAAAGTGCGCAAGTTTGGGAAATATGTGGTATTGCAATATCATTTGTGAGTAAAAAAAGGTTTACAAACCTCAGGAATTTAATTGACCTCGAGAAATAATACTAGCCGTCCAACGTCATTAAGATTGAATTGATTTAAAGGTTGTAAATTAATAAAAATTGACGGGAGCTGACTACTGGGCACGTCGACGGCGTAGTTTCGGTTGTGGTTTCACTACCTGTCTTTACATTCTGGTGTAAAACTAACTCGGCTTGGATTATGTACAATGCAGGCTTGAATCATTCTGGGGTCAGAGCTTCAGAAAAGGTCACGCTAAGCAAGGAAATATACGCATTTCGAATGTATAGATAGCATTATGTTACGAAACTAAAATCGTGGTAAACGTAAAACTATACGTGCCGTGTTCTGATTCATTGCTTTAATTGTGGTGCGTATGTGGAGAGGTATTATGACATGAAAGTCAGATACGCAAGATTTGGCGACTGATTATCCTACTTACCCTTGACAAACTCCTGCCCTAAGAACCTTGCCTAAACGATTTAAAACTTAACACAAATCTGTGCCAGATATCAACCATATTACGCAAACAATAGCAATGCTAAATTCAGCAGTGCTTACGATTAGTGTGTTTCCATTTTCTGATTAAAATTACATACATACATAATTTGCCATTCTTGTAGATTTATAGAGACTTCAATACATACATGTGACACGTATTATGTATATTTCACCATTGTAAATCATTGCGTGCCGTGTTGTGTCTTGTGGACGAATGTGTGCACAATTTTCATGGTGGGAAGGTAGGTATGTCCTCCTCCTCCTCCCTTCATGTTTCCCCATTATTCCATCATCCTACATTTACTTATTTTGCTTCACTTTACATGCTCAAAGTCAAAAAAGTAGTGTTCATGTCATCGATACTACATTTTCAATACATTTTCTCATGCATTGTCAATGCTTCAACTTACATTTACTTATTGGTATATTTAATGTATGATGAGGGAGGTAGCGTAACATGCCCATTGCATTATATATTTTTGCAATTTCTGAATTTGAGGTTCTGCTCTCTCTAAAGGACCGTGCGAGCCTGTAATCAAGTTCTGAATTCCAACTTTAAAATGAAAATTGCTGGTTTGGTGGAAATTCAGGTGGACGACTTTGCAGTATCTCACTTTAACCTCCTCCACCCCTACGCAGAATGGGATGGCGTATGATGTTAGGTCACCTGTAATTTGGTACTTGCACGAAAATGAAATGAGAGCTATCATTACGTATTGTGTGGATAGGGAAAAAGAGCGGAGAGAGGATACAGGACAACGACAGAGCGAAGAATCGAAGGATGTCACATTTCACGTAATGCCAAGTAAATCCTGGTCTTGCTAGTTAATGGATGGATGTAGTTGTTATAATACAACGGTAATACCGGATAATGCAAATACACGTAGTTATATTCCACCAGAAAAAGGTGGACGTCTCGCTGTGGTGTGGCCATTATACTGTTTGTTTGCAAAATGCGGTGAATTTTTTATTTATGAAAAGGTCGCCGCTTTTGGTAGACCGAGATGATTACTGAGTAGATCGAGGTCCTCCCTGGGTAGAATTTAAAATTGCACATACATTTTTAAATTGCGAAAAAATAGGGATTCTTCACCACCACTAGAGCAAGCAATGCAGCAAATTGGGACACGGACATTACCCGACCCTCGAAAAGGTTCTAATTTGCGTCAGAGAGAAAGCATGCCCGAGTAAAATCCGGGATTTCACCCGTTTAATTTTATGCCAAGTATTTATGACTAATATGATAGTTTAAGCACTTGCTAACCATTTCATCCCTGACACAATGGTTTCATTTCATAACGCACAAGACTGGTGAGGAAGGCATAAGCAGGGTGACAATTGATAAATCCGCCCTACAAAGTCAGTCACTGGAATGACACCATCCATCCAGAGATTGTCCACACAACACAAATAGTTTCCATGCTCGTTCATCGCAAAACCACTCCACAATAATGATAAAAAGCACAATGGGGACGTACATAAAATAGAACACGCTCCAGGCACCATGTAAAATAAATCATTGTGTAACTAGAACTAGAACTCTGTCATTTTTTCATTGACTTTGTTGACTGAAGTGAAGTGAACAATGTGGATTTTTCATGCATAATATTTACGTACGTATGTACAAGTACAAGTTACGAGATGAATAATATGTGATGATGTTAGGCGATGATGTGAGGATGAAGGATGGGGCAGGGCTGTAAACTGTGCTGCTTAGTGTTCTGCATCTCCATCAGATAGAATAGAATTGTAAAAATCCCAATGTTATGGATGTCGTTGAGGACAACCCAGTTCCGTTTAATTTAGAGCTCCTGTGTGGGAGTGAGAACATGACATTGTTGGAATCATCAAGCTTTAACCTCTCTCTCTGCGCATTAATATTTTGGCTGAATCAATTCAAGACGAAAGTGCATGCAGCATTATTTCACTACGTACGTACGTGGAATATAGTCGAATGCAAAATGTAATATTTTTTATGACTTGGTGGTGGTGACGCTGGCTACCACAAGTCACAAGTCGAGTAATATCGACGAAGGTGTACCGTGTACCTAGTCAGACAGGCTGGATGATGGTGTGGTAACGTGTAAAATGATGAAATTGTAGCAACATTTCAGCAATGAACAGGCTGCTTGGGCTGAAATAAAGCCTAAAGGCCTAAAAATCTGCATATTCACCTGAATACATAAAAGGTGTAGTAGGAGAACAGCTGAATATGTGGCTTGGTCTGCTTTATGTATTTACATTCATGCCAACCAACTTATTTTTCTGTATAACTGGCTCATATTTTTATATGGAAAGGAGGCAGCCCTCTCCTCAGAGTATGGAAACATATACAAGTTGGGATTTCTTGGCTGGCTTTTGTTTGGTTGGTCTCCCAAGTCAAGGCCGCACGCGATGTAATAGTCAAGATTTTAATGATTACTCAAAATATTGGGTCCCTATCAATAACGTATATCCTGAGAAATCGGGGTGCTGAAGGATAATGGGTGGACATGGCAGACATGAGATGCTGCATTTTTATGAAAAAGTTGTGCCCTTTGCCAAAAATCATAGACATGAGACCTGCTTTGATTTTTTTCAATACAATATTTAATTAACGATTAAACTCGACAGATTTTGTGAATTGCTCGTAAAGCGCAAAAAACGAGTGGATGAAATGTATTATATTTGTGTTTTTATTTTTACTTTGCAGGTGAAAATTTGGTTTCAAAATAGGCGGAGCAAGTACAAGAAGTTGATGAAGGCAGCTCAAGTGCCCGGAGGGTCGAATCAACCGTCGAATCAGCAGGGAGAAAATTCGAATGAGACGATGAGTCCTCAGCCCCCAGATTCTTTCCCTTCGCAACCCGGTGACCTCAGCCCGCCTCCAAATCCTAACCCCCAGTCTCAGGTATGCAAATCCAATCCACACCACCATCCGCATCTCAAAGCTCACTCAAACATTGCAAAAACGAAATGTTGGTATGCTCCAATAGTTACTTAAGACGGGGTTTCCCAGCGTATGCACTTAGATTTTGAGCAAATTAGTGCCAATCAATCAAAAATTTAATTTTTGCAAAATACATGATCTGCTAATACTCAGGTCTAGCAGAGATATTTGCATCCGAGGAAGAGAAAACGCGCCCCAAATTTTATACTTTCCAAATTTACCGTGCGTTTTCTCCTCTTTGGATGCAAATATCTCCGTCAAATCTGAACATTGGCAGATAGATCCCTTTGCTCATTTCATACTAAGTAAATTTGCGCTGAGTGCCAATTTGCTCAAAATCGGAGAGCTGGTAAACCTCCATTGTTAGGGAAGCATGTATTTGGCTGTGGAGGCGAGTGAAAGTTGGCCAGATTTATTTAGTACCCGAAAACAAGAATGAAACATGAAGAGGTTGGCCGTGTGTGTGTGAGAAGCGAAGCAACTGTGAATTTGAATAATGGATGATGGTTGAGGTTAATCAAATTCACCTCCGGCTGCCGTGATGCCTTTCCATTCCTGTTGTTGTCGTTACCTTTTACGAGATAGTTAATGTCCAGGTGGAAGGAAGGGTGGAAGAACAGGGTGTTTTTTGTAATGAGCACAATGTCAAACTATTGTCCGAGGGTGGGTATCCATTTCATTCTATATTTCCCATCCGCCTGCTTAAAATTTAATCTGAAATGAGGAACAAAACTCATCAGTTATTCCATGCTACCAACACTCCCAGCGCATGACAATACAAAAGCTAAATGAGCCATTTAACTTTAAAAGGAAGGTGAAGTTGTGCATAATTTATTGGACGTTCAAATGCGAACCCAGCATTTCTTTAAAGAAACAAGTCCATACACAGTTTTAGCAAATTGCTGGAATTGTTCGATTAAAAGCAGAAAGTAAAAAATTTTGAAATGTTTGCGTTAAGGAATATGTACGAACAATGGAGGTTTCCCTGTGTATGTATACTCTTAGATTTGAACTAAATTAGTGTCAATCGATTTAAATTCATCCAATATAAAATTTGCAAAAGAAATTATTCGCTAATGCTCGTGTTTTGCAGAGATATTTGCAACCAAGGAGGAGAAAAGACGCCTTAAAGTTCACAAATTTTACGCTTTCTAAATGTAAATTACATTTTGTAATGTACTGCGTCTTTCTCCTCTCCGGATGCAAATATTTCCTCCAAACTTAAGCTTTGGGAAATAGTGTCTTTGCAAATTTCATATCAACTAAATTTATGATCGCCTGACAGTAACTTGGTTAAAATCGGAGACTAGGAGATTTCCATTGTAAAATTGTGTCGCTTCATTTCACAAGCGCATAATTTTAACGAGTGGTATTTTTTCTTATTTTTCAGGGAGGTTGTTCATCGCCCGTGTCGCCGTGGGATATAAAGGGTGGCGGCGGGGGCGGGGGTCCTCAGCATCAAAACGGTCCCCCCAACATTCCTCAACTTCCCCACCACCCACACCCCGGAATCCCCGTAGGGCACCAACCTTATCAATATCACTGGTACCATCAGGACCACTCCCTTCTCACGTAACTAACACACCTCAACTCTAGATCATCAATTCCTACGTGAAATCCTATACATCCGACGACGTATATAAATAGTAACTTTATCAAAATCAATTATTATTATTATGTTAACTTCAAAAACCAAATCATTAAGTTAATCCTATAATCGATCGACGGACGGTAGGTACAAAGAAAGAAATATATACAAACAAATTCGTTCAACAAACAACACCTCATTCATCATCATTCCAAAATTTTCGTGGTTGTGCTACCAAAAAATTGTTCATCCTGTAATATTATTTTTTATCATTTGTTTGTCGCTCTGCTTATGTGCTGTGCTGCTCGGTGTGAGTGTGAATGAAGTAGTTATTTAGGCAGTGGAGGAGGTCTGCGTGAGAACCCCCTTTAAATTTTGTGCAAATATTAGTTATACACGAGTCCTTAGTCTTAGTCGCCAAGATATTCCGGTAGGTAAGTATTACACATTAAAAGAAATACAGGTCCCGATAAGCCAAAGGGTTCGGATGATAAGGAAAGAAAGGCCAAGCCAAGCTGAATCAAATCATTTATGATATGTATCTCACTCTCAAATAGTTTTAGAACTGGGTGGGCCGTGATGTAAGTCCGTTTTATATAAGAAAAATATAGTACGGTAAGCTAAAAATAGGCTAAAAAGAAGTACATAAATGCTAAATGTCTACAATTAATTAACTTAAATCTAAATTAATCTGTTCATCTCTTCTGATACACGGATTTGCTATGGATTAGATACATACGTACGTAAATACTTCATATTACTGGAGCTAAAAAATTAATCGTTGTTTACATCATAAGTCATCTAAAAAAATATTTAGATTTAACGAGGGACCTAGGCCTGCTTAAAATAATTTTAAAAACAATTATCTCGCCACGAAGGAGAAGACGACGGAGGAAAAGGAGGAGACGAGAGATGGGAGGGGTTTTAGTTCCTTTTTTGTAGAGTATTACACAAAATTATTATTTAAATAAACATAGAATTTACTTTTTAAATGTGATATATCTTTGGTTGACTGGATATTTTCCTTCGTACACAAAATTATTTTGCTGCACCGGGTAATCAATTACTAAATAATTAAGATTTGTACTACTGAACAAAAATTGGGTTTGATTTTATCTCAAGTTGTCATCCTTCACTCACTCACTCATGCTCGTAGAAATGTATTCATTCACTAAAACTTCTCATAATTTCATCACAGAAATGATGCCACAGTATTAAATACATTACATTACATAAGATGAATGAACACTAAATATGTGTTGCTCTACATACAACCACAACTCCTACTACTTTACGATAATATGTACTAATCTGGACATGATAACTTAATTATCTAGTGTACTTTAAGTAGAGTATTTAATTTTCACTTGTTACAAGTAAGTAGCTGCCCTGCGCTATATGCATAAATATTTAAGTAAATTAGTCATATTATTTTAACTAATTATTGTACATAAATCCATGTAAGTACTTATGATAAATACGGTTAGAATATTGCTAAAGTTATGAAATGGAATAAAACCAAATGGCCAATTTAAAGGAATGATTTTTTGTTTCGTATTTATCTAAACCTTGATTTATTTAGTGAGTAAAAGTCATGTTGAGAGAAGAACGCTTTCAGGGAGGAAGGAGGCGAGTTGAGAGTGGATGCCATGCCCTGTCGATACGTTGCCCTGTTGGAGGAAAACCAATCGCTTAAAACGGTGACGATTGTGATCATGGCGTGACGAAGGGGATGGACGATTTCTGCTGTCCTTACTTGGTCTTCGCCTATGTTTTTTTAAGACGGGAAAATCCAGTCTTCTTGTGTATTTATTTACAGAATCTCGTAAAATGGCAGCACGAGAGTAGCGAAAATAGATAATATTCTGCTGGTGAGATGGAAGTAAATGTGAGACAAATGTGATGATGAATATATCAGAGAAATTACATGTCTTGGATAATTTTGAAGTTTTTTCACACATTTATTACGTATTTATAACCTTTGGATTAATATATGTATCCAGAGATTAGATTGTTTTTAAAAGGCTGCATAATAAATAATATGAATAAACTGGGTGTTTTTTGCTGTAACGAGTTTACTACTACTCTACATTACACAATGCCAGCCAGACTTTAACAGACAGATTGTGATTGGCATCTGGGAGTAACCGAGAATATGACGTGACATGATCCGGCCATGTGATGTATTTCCAACTTCATAATATGTTTCCCATTATTTAGTAGCGTCAGTTGCTTTATGTTATCGTTTTGTCTGTCCGTCCGTCCGTCCGTCCGTGAGTAAGCAGGGTATCTTAAGAACGCGTGAACATAGTCAAAAGCGGTTTTCGTCATTTTCGACCCTCACAGTGGGGTCCCTGCGGTCAACGCCAAGGTCAAGGCGACCCTGGCGCGAGGTCAAACGCCAAATTTGGCCTTAATTTTCATATTCGATATCATTTTAAAGTAAAAATCACCACGAATTCAATATTTTTTTACATGCGACCACCCAATGGCCGTGAGGACGAGGTCACAGGTAAAAAAATACGTAATTGTAAAATTCGGCGTCATTTTATAAAGAAATTTCAATCACTTATTAGACGCTACTTTTTTATCTTCGTTTGACACGATGTAATTTTTACACGCAAGTAACAAGAGGAATAGAGTAGTAGTATCCTTGCGTATAGTAAATAAATACACGTACAAAGTACAATATTTGGCAAATAGTCTTGAATGCGAATAACAATTAAATAGAAATATATAGTGCATCACTCGATCTCTGCGACTTTAGGTACAATTACCTCTCTCTCTGCTACTGTTAGTCATCTCACTTTTTAGTAAATGTCTATCTGTCTGATATGAGAAAAACTAATTGAGAGAGAGAGAGAATGGTGGTTATAGTTTTTCGTAGTTGGTACGACGAAGCACAAGCAGACGAAGGTTTGGTCGGTGGTTTGGTTTGTGTATCATCGGAGGCGATGGATTTTTATGATTGTCAGTCCGTCGCTGCAATGTCCATCAAGCCAGAGTGCTGGATTATTGGCGAGTGAAGGTGGTCGTGATGATAAAATAATAAAAAACGGATATGAGATCTGCCCGAATCCTTCATATCTCATCCACATCACGTCATTCGTGGGGTGGTGGGTGTCGTGACCCATCCAAACCATTTCAGACTTCAAGTCAACTCACCCACCACACCACCAACCAACCAACTTGAGAACAGACACAACCGAATAAAGGACCATGAGTAGTTGATCAAGTTCAGTTTATTTTCTTCATATTCGGCTGGTTTACTAAACAAAAAACCACATTTTTTCAACTATTGCAAATTTCACAGTAAAGTTTTTAGGAAATTTGTGAGGATACCATGCAAAAATGTGCATAGCATTTATCACCTGTGTATGTAGTGCCATACACAATGTTGCATGGATAAGAATCTGAAGCTATTAGAAGGACGAGATTTTTATAACATGAAATTAGCGTGGAATTATGAGCATCGAACAATCCACTAATCCACACCTTTTTACCCACAATAACCTTCTTGACATTTATTACATTATTGTTTGTGAATCGGAAGCCAATTAAGAAATCCCACCAGAACAAAACGGCATTTGCCACCTCACCTGCAATGCAACCAGAAAGAGAGGAAAGTAGGAGGAAGTCGTAGGCAGGATCAGGTTTTACTTCGTTACACACATTGCTTGCACTATATTCCACACCTTTTAAGAAAGCAAGAATAATGCATGCACGCAGGAAACTTTGACCAAATCAAGTAGTGAATTCAATTCACCCACAAATTGTGAACTCTCTTGTGTGAGTACTTGTTTTTTACTAAAATCTTCTCCTTTTGATCGACGATTTCACACACTGAAAAAAAATCTTTAAAGACTTAACTTGAGTTTTTTTTACAAAATTGATAAACCACTCTGCGCTGGTTTACTAATTGTTTCTAGATTTTGAACAGTTTTACTTTATAAGTAAATGATTCAGATTGCATGACAATCCCGTCCACAATGTGCTCTTCCGTTTTCGTCTTGTGTTTCATTTCATGGGAAAAATATGACTCTTGCTTGAGGTGCAATTTTCCCCATTGGTGCCCTCTTTTCCGCTATGCACACACGTCGTCATCGTCTCTCGACGTGTTCCTCTTTCATGTTTTGGTCGTAATGAGGAGTGGCTTGGCTGGACGTGGAGCGTCAGCTATGAAAGGAAATACCTCGTATTTAGCAAGTCTGGGTTAAGACGAATTTCTAGAATTTCTTTGGATGACCAAAGAAATTCTCAATGGAAATGGCAGTGTTTCGTGTGCAAGAAATAACCGCAAGAAAGTGGTTTCTTGCAGCTATTTTGACCTGCAAGAAATTCAAGGCGTGAGAACCTGTGCCCCGCCGCTATGTGTCAGATGGCGCATATTTCTTGCACTTTCTCCCAGTTTCTTGCACCTCTCATTTCTTACATTCCTTTCTTTGCAGTTCAAGAAGTTTGGCAAACCCGCAAGCAACGAAACACTGCAAATTGTAAGCCAAATGCAAAAACTTAAATTAATAACAAGTTTCGTAACAATCAGATGTAGGGTATTTAATTTGCGTTCATTTGTACGTATCTTGTAGCAAATTCATTAGCATTCTTAAATTCCTTTCAAAAAACCTCAATTAGAACTGAGAGAAAAAAAGATGCAAAAAACAAGCTTTCTTTCTCTGTACGTACAAAAACATGGTCTCGAATTGCAGATACACTTGATTATTTTCGTGCCCAAGTGTATGTATATATCCTACTAAATGAGGCTTTACTAACAAACTTGTAACGTAAGAATGCAAAAAGTGCAAAGATTGATCTCACATTATGGCAGATGAGAGAAGAAGATTGTGATTTGGCTTGACAAAGAAGCAGAAAAAATGGTAAAACAACAATTAAGGTGAATATTTGCAGGTAAAAGTAAACCGAGTAAGTGAGGTATGTAAGGTCAGTTACATTCAGAGACAAAATTACCGTAATCAAAACCATATGAGTGTAGTAATTGCTAGATCGTCATAATTATGATAATTGATAGTAATGAACTTGCATGTAATACGCACCCACACCAACACTCAAGTCATCGTCGTCATCTTACTTACTACGAGCCCATCTTACGTACACACAACAACTTGATCCCGTCGTGATTACAAAATCGATGATCGTTGACAAAATGCCCGTTAAAAACATTACGCAATTTTCAACGGATTAAAAAAGTGAATTCAATTGAACCCTTTGCTCTCATCGAGCTATTCACCCATCGAATCCACGTCCACCCACCCCTCCCACGACACGGCTCCCTTTGGGTCCAGATAAACTTTTTGATTTTTTTTATTCCCTTCGCTTTTTTATGAACAACTGGTCTGGTCCAATTGCACATTGATTGATGCGACGCGATGAAAGAATAATAAAACTACGGATTCAAAGGGAAAGCCAGAGTTATAAATAGATATGATTTTTTTTACCAGTGAAAGAAACAGCTTGTCAACTTTCCTGCAGGGCTAAGCTTACGTAAAGAAAGAGAGATGTAGCGGGAGGAGAGGAGGAGGAGGCGTGGGAGGAGGGGACGAATAACGTACGTATGTACGGCTTGTAATGTGGGCAGAGAATAAAAAAATATTTTTAAATGTGAATGGAATAGAAAGTGGACCAACTTGTACTCATTATACAATTTATTACAAAAGGAGACTTGATAAATTTTAAGTCAAAATTCGAAATATAATTATGAATTGCAATGTTTCAAAACTTAAGAATTTCATAAACTTAACTGGACAGTTCAGTTTCTGCCGAATTTGTTAAGCGCCTGTAAATACCATCTCTTAATAGATTTAGCATCGTTTACAAGCGACTCCTGCGACAAGGACCCCGTACGAAACATCGCATCTGCTCTTCTCCTATGACGAAGGTACAAGTCGTTCGTCGTGTTATGGTGACTGTGTGGGAGTTTACTTTGCTTATTACTCCGACGACGACGACGACCAGAGAGAGAGAGCGTCCAAAGTTGGGCAGAAAGCCGATAGAATTTCCATGGAAACTTTTTCCATGTTATGTTAGCTTTTCGCCCTATAATTTGGATGGGCGGGTCGCACTCGTTCTCTCTCCGTCTCTCTTCTTTTGGTTTGTTCGGATTCAGATGGAATTGTGCACATCGACCCAACGAAAGCATATAAAACTACGTACATTCACACGACCAGCCAGACTAGAGAATGTAGACATTGTATTCGCTCTCTGCCTCCACGCTGGTGTGTCCTCGTTAAATGAATGTGCTCATCATAGAATCCTACCCACTGACTGTCCTGTCTGCTCGACGTAAGTAAAGTGAATAAAATGATGCTTCTCTCTCTCTCGTCGAGCAAAAAGACACAGTCCATCAAATTCAATTCAACAACATTTTCGCTCTAGGTAGCAGCCAAACTCGCTATGAGGTGAATCACCAGGATCATGTCGACTTGTTTTAGAGAAGCACCAAAAGCATGAATTTAACGCAATAATAAGAACCCCCAACAACCCAAATCTGCCTGCAAGATAAGTAAGACGGATAAAATAATGCTA